ATTCTACTTTGTCTCGTCCTACCAATATCTCTCTGTCCGTCCGTATACCGGTAAGAGGGCGTCTCTCTCTCTCTCTCTCTCTCTCTCTTTCTCTCTTTACGGACGGGTTTGATCCGAGTGGGTGTAAGTCAGTGAGTGAGCAAGGCGAGGAAGAGTGCGAGTGATGGGTTGGATGGGCAGGCATCACGTAAACAAGTTCACAACGCAGAACACAGATATTTTTCACAGAGGGATTGTGAGCATCATACACTTATCTAGTCTAGAAAACGTAGCTAGCAAGCAAGCAAGCAGTAGTACTCGCACATACCGTGCCACACATTTACGAGTCAGGCACTGCTGATATCATACCGGTATCCAATCCGCAAAGCACTTAGTCTACTTGTACTGCACAGTAAGGCGCTGTAATCCAACATAAACATAATCTACCTACGGGACTAGTACCGTACAGTACAGTACAGTAGTGTAATATCATACCGAGCACAGTACCCTCACTCACCTCGCCACACGGCGCCACATACACCGCACCCTTATCGTGAGAAAATTCGCCTCCAGCACAGTATGATGCCGGTACGGCACTCACGGTAGACTAGAGCACCTCTCCACTACCGGTAACCGCACACCGCACAAATCAAGTGTGGAGTGGAATAGCCAGTCACGTGATGAGCACACCTTCCTTCGTACGGGAGCACGCCACGTACCGGTACAGTAGTACTAGTTGGTGTTATATAACTTTACGGTACGACGGGGGGGGGGGGGAGGGATGGACGGACGGACGGACGAAAGTGCGAAAGGGAAGAAAAAGGGGGAGGGGAGGAGGGGAGGGAAAAGTGCAAAAAAAAAAGGAAAGAAAAAAAAGTTTTTAAATATATCATGTCTGTCATACGATACAAGTATATTTCCGAGTAGCAGTACAGTACCTTCACACGCGCACGCACGCACGCATGCATGTCCGATGCGCAGGAGGAGGGGAAAATGAATGGGTGAAAAAGCAAAGGATGGGCTGGTCGCTGGAGGGCAATACGGGTATGAGATGGAGGGGGGAGGAGGACGGGTCCTATGTATTGAGTGAGCGCGGACTGCGCTGCTCGGGTGCTGAACGACATGCGCAAGGTATTGTATTATCGAGAAGGGTGGAAGCGGTACGGGAGGAGGGAGAAAAGGGTGACAAAGTCGGGCAAGTATTATACAATGTATAGGAATACTTCCTGAACGAGAGGAAGAGGGGGGGAGGAATCATATCAGAAGTTGCATGGCAACAAGCTTCCCCCATGCCTGGTGCTAATGGACCGACAAACTAGGGTAACATACGACACCATACAGTTGCTAACAAACTAAATTCAACCCCGCCTTCAAGTAACAGTTCGCTAGTTTTGCTAGTTGGTTCGTTGGTCTATCAAGTTCTCTTTACTTGCTTGCTTGCTCCTCAAGATATGTTTTAAATAAAAGAGAGAGATGGAGGGAGAGAGAGAGAGAGAGAGAGAGAGAGAGAGA